TCTAATGCCACGTCAGGAAACATTAGTGCGGAATTCACTGGACGCTTAAACGCGCAGCAACGTCTTTTTCGATTTGTAAACTTAGCGGGGTGCAATTTTTATTCGACACGCCAACACCGCCTCGTACTTCCGGTCGTTTTCGCATCCCCCCACGTGGCAGAAAATCATATTTGTTTTTATTTCGACAAGTTATTTTCGTGCAGTAACGTCATCCAGAGCACCACGGGTTGTGGGCAAATTTCATGTGTCTCCAGAATCGTATTGATGTGAGGCGCCAACTATTAACTTAATTTTGTATCAATCTTAATTTTATCAACTTGATCTTATATTAGCGGTACAGCGCGCTCACACGCAATCGATAGTACGAAAATATTTATGAAGTGTTAAAACGAAATCAGAAATAGGAACAGATGTTGTATCCGTAAAATTCGTTTAAACATGCGTCGTGTTCACCTATACATCTAAATCGCACTACATCGAAGATTGAATGAAATCTATACAGTAATCAAAATATTAAACGCAATATATATGTTAATATTAATTGAAAATCAGGATCATATTTACCACTAGGCAGGATAGGCAACTACTTATGGCCTCCGTTATTAGGATTTTTATGAACTTTTTTTTTTTTTAGAATAAAAAGTTCACCGTATAAAATAAATATGATATTTAAAGAAAAATGAACGTAAAATGTAACATTTTTTGTCTTACCTTAGAGTCTAGAAACGCCTAAATCAAACCCTGTGGGAAATACATTTATTTCAATCCTCAATTAGGTTACATTCAACAAATTGCAATACGTTGCCCATTTAAAAATATTATGTAAATATATACATTATATTATTTCTGTATTACGAAGCGGATGAAAATATTGTCTAATCTACTAATTATGCCTAATAATTAGAAGAGAAAAACTACTCCTACTATACTGTGCAAGAACAAAAAGAAACATAAACAACCCAGCCATAAAAGTAATAAATACATATATACATAAAGCCGAAAAAGAAAATATAAAAATAAACATTATTCTAGAAAGAAAACCATATGATTTCCCCACATGGAACACAAAAATCAATGTTAACCTTACTCTAAATTACTTACTAAATTTAATTAATAAATAATGATAAATAATAATTTAATTAGTAATTAGTAAATTACTTACTCTAAATTACCTTACTCTAACTAAATTCAAAAAAGAAAACACGATACCTTTCATATATAAAAACATGCTCAAAAACATATAGCAAGAGCATCCTAACAGCGTATAAATATATACCGACGCCTCCAAAACTAACGATGGAGTCGAACTCGTAATTATAATAAACAATCAAACAATAACATACAAACTCCCACCTCAAACCTCAATATTCACAACAGAAGCGATGGCAATATACAAAGCTGTGAAATATCTCCACACAGAATACGCAAACCCTCAAAACAAATTTATAATTCTTAGCGACTCACTCAGCAACTTAATCGCTATCACAAATACACGTAACCAATCAGATATCACAAAGCTCATCCAAGAAGAAACCTTCCTTGCAGGAAAAAAAGGTAAATTAATCCAATTTGTATGGATTCCGAGGCACATGGGCATTACCGGAAACGAAATGCTGATCAAGAAGCTCACAATCTACCATCTCTACAAAACTCCAACCATAAATTCCATCACATTCGCAAACGCAAAGAACGAAATTAACTCACACATATATAATAAATGGCACTCTCACTGGCGAAAAGTCAACACTAAACTTAAAAAAATAAAAAATAATATCAACCCATTGAAAAATCCCGAACTCAATAGAAAAGAAGAAACCATAATAAACCGCCTCCGAATTGAACACACACACCAAACGCACAGCTACTTAATGAGTAAAGACGAACCTCCAATGTGTGACTCGTGTAGCGTTCTTTTGACTGTCAACCACATCATCGAATGTCACAAATATAAACAGTATCGCAATCAATTTCAAATCTCCGAACAAATCTGTCAAGCACTTGGACCAAACTCACAGGATATGAACAAATTAATTCTATACTTAAAAAAACAGAATTGTATAATTTATTTAAATTGAAAAATGTAAATACTAACAATGTAACCTAACACAAAATTCTTATATAAATGGCCTAGTTGTCGATGTATTTAATGATCAATAAAAAAAAAAAATAAATATGCACGAGAAACTATACACGCACAACATACAATGCACAGTTCAATACTGACTTTTTAATATATAAATTAATTTATAAACTTTTAGATCGTCCGATAAAAAGTTGGTCGTATGTCATAACTAGGGAATGGATTTATATGTAAATGCATATTTTTATTAAAACGAGGTATTTAAGATTCGATAAGAAATGTTTATGATTTAAATCATTCCTATTAAAATGATGATACTTTTATTTTACATATTTTGATATAATTACATATTTTTACATATTTAACTAATTAGTAAATATTTTTAAACATATTTTTATCATTTCATCATTCATAAGTCTTCTTCTTACGAAAATACAAGAAATTATTTCAAAATTAGATCCAGAAACTTCTATCGCTATTAAAAAGCTCAAAATATTATTCAATATGAAACATTGAAAATAATTTAATTTTAATTAAAAATAACTTCACAAAATTATTAATAAAAAATATGTCCCCAAATGATAGTATGGAAATTGTTGAATCAGCGATTAAAACTCGTAAGCAGACCAATAGATGTTGTAAAAAAGAAAATCCATGCTGTTACAGAAAAAATTCCAAGCTATATTGATTTTAAAACAATCAATGACATAATGAATGGCAGACGCCCTTCTAAAAATTTGGAATTATCGCCTTCTGATAGTATGCGCTTGAAATATGCTTTTAATGCAACAAATAATTTTGATGATTTAATAATAATAATCATTTTTTTTTTTAATTTTTTTTTTCCACATATTTGGATGTTTTTAGCACATATTTTATAAATTATACTTACATATATATGTACATATTTCTATATTTTTATTACATATAAATCCGTTCCCTAGTCATAACCATACCTTCTATCGTACGATAAAATTTTAATATGATAAAAACGTCGGCCTATAAATAATCTTTTATGTGTACCGGCCCTAAGTGTTCTTAAGAACACTAACATTAACTGTTCTTAAGTGATCTCAATCGTTCGTGTAATTCAGTTGGTAATTATAAGTTTAAGTAAACAACGATAAAATATCGTAATATCTGTCAGTCGTAATCGGATGTATTAAGAATTTTTCCCAGAATCAAAAATATTGATAACTTATTATATTCGTCATAATCGATTCTATATCAAAAAAAATTAATTCTACAGTAGTGTATTATTGTAATTATATACCCACTAATCACAAGTGATGGTTATTTTAATAAGGAGTACTTATATGCAATTTAATTTAATTGGATTTTTTTTAGTTCAAAAATTGTATTTATAATGTACAAATATAATAAGCTATAGTGGTATATACTATAAAATATTCTTGTATTCGAATTCATCCTAGTAAGTTTTTCAATAATATAATTTTTTTCAAAAGATTCAAAATTAACACTCAAATATATATTTAACTTTTAATGCAATGCTGTAGACTTGAGCAGCACGTAATGTACTCGTAGTATTAAGTAGAGTATTATTCACTGGTTAACTTATTTTTATTAAAATTGAATTCGATTATAAATTATAATATATTGATTCAAGAACTAATATTTGTAGACGGATATTTACGAAATTTATTCTGTTAAAAAATATTAAATTGGAGTTTAAAAAAATAATAATAATTATTAGAACAAAATTAGAAATATTTTTATTTTTATTTTTTATTTTTTTTATAAATTTGATCTATAATTAGCAATTTCAAATTATTAAGATAAAATGTTTATCTAACACTAATCTTGAATAAAACGATGTGTGTCTCTTAAAAATCTTATTATAAACATTTATATAAATGATTATATATAATATTATATAATCGTAATTTGTTTATACATATATCTTGTCGAGTGACCAATAATAACCAACATATTATCAAATAATTGACCGTTAAATTAAACTGACCATACCCAAAAATTATTCAATTAGCTTACAGTTTTAAAATAAGTCGAGTACAAAAAATTGGTTTTGTGATATCGTTAAAAAAAGGGTGTAATGTATAAGTTCATGATGGTGGATTTATGTAAATTATATGCAATAATACCCTGCATGTAAAACTATATTCAACATAATCCTAAAATATTTTACTAGCAAAACAATTCATGATTCTACAACATTTTTAAGAACTTTTAACGATGTCGTGAACTATTGCGTAAGCTGATCGGAGAATCAAAACCATATACGACTCAATTTATTTTAGTTATTTTAACTGCTTGGATTAAAAAGTTGTCATCTAGACACACTTGATTTCTATACAGTGCTGCCAAGTTTGATAATCTCAAAAATGGGAAAAATCATAAAATATCACGTTTTTATAAAAAAAAAAATTTAATGTAAAGCAGCGCCATATACAAAAAACAGCGTTTGTGATATGAAAGGACTGAACCAATAAAACACTTAAAAATTCGTAATTTTCAACACATAAACATACACATAGTCAAAATTAGTTTCATATACTGACAGCGATTCTGTAAACTATTTAAATGTTCAGTACAATCTATAACCTATACTATAAGTCCTATAGAGTATAATTAAATATGAACTACGAACTATTAACTATTAAGTCGAGCCAAGACTCATGATGTTCGTCGTCCGTGGTTATTATTATCTAAGCCGAAAAATATAAAAAAAATTAACAATTTTAATTTTTCTCATGTTTTTTCTAAAACTTATATATTTTGAAAATATCGTATTTTTGGAAGATTTAGTAGAGTATCGTACATTTTCTTAAATATTGTATCCCCACCAATACCGTACTATTTGTCAGCATAGTATCTATGGAACTTACAACTGCATATCTACTATTGATAACTACTTAATCCCTATGATTTCAGTACTTACATTTCAGTTTGAGGCAATAAAAATATGTATCGTTGCATTCATTTCAATAGCTTCTCGAAGGTACAAATTGGTTCTCTGAAATAAAAAATATTATAATTACCGCCAGTGCATAAACAATCACTTTATAGTAAAAAAAAAAAAAATTGGTATAGAATTTTAACAAATCGAGAGACGTACATAAATTTTATCACAATATACAGTCATATTTGTAAAACAAAATACATCGTTATATTTGTTGAATTGTTAAATTAATATCATTCACTTCACACGTAAAAGCGTTAACTAATTTAGTAGAAATGATAACCGAATCCGAATAACTAACTGCATATCAGTTCCGGAGCGCTCAATTACAAGCTGTGTTGGTTAGACATGTGATTTTATAATTATAATAATACATATAGCATTATATTGATAGAAAAGATAAAAACTATTGATACTATTGATACATTTTTATTTTTAATTAAATACTGAATTGATATTATTACGATGTTAAAAACGCAAATGTTCACCTTTTGGTTTTCATTTCAACCACCTGTATCAATACACAAAGTACATTTTAACAAAAACAGAAAACCCATATAATATAGGTCTTATAATTTAATACTTTCATTGCTTACTATGAAATATTTTAAATATAAATTACTCATTCAGTAGGTACATAAAATAATTGGCCGTACTAATTTGTACAATTTTCATGACTAGTCCACGTAATGCCATTCAACTTAATTTCGTATTCTGGAGAAAAATTCAATAATCACATCTATCTTCATGAAAAATTTAGTTCCCGGATGGAGCGTAAGTAAAACAGTAGTTTCTACATTTTCACGACTGCAGAGCCCCAGTGTCCCCAAAATTTATATTATATACTGAAAAACCAATTGTACAAAAAAAACGTTTAAAGATAAATTGATTATTGTTTTTTTTATTATTACTGTGAATATTCACAAAAATGTTGCAGAAACCTCTGGATTGCTATACAAGACCCTTAGATTCCACAGAACACTTTATAAATCGTTGAAGTAAACTATTGCCTATAAGCTAATACAATAAAAATCAATAAGTCAACTAAAATATACAATATACTTATTAATGCATCGTACCGAGATAAAAACGTTTTTGTTTTAGTTTGACGTACATTTTACATTTTCATTGTTGAATTATAATTTAATTTAAATATAACCTACTAAAAAAAAAAAAAAAATATTACGAGGCATTCACCCCAACGATACTTACGTTTGACACCACTCAAGTCATCAATTGTATTATGTATTATTTTTTTCAACTTTACTTTGTACCCTCCTTTCAAAAACGTCAAAATAACTCTCATAGATTTATAATGAGATAATATTAAAATAATTAATTCAGTGCATGTATTACTAATTACTCACTTGATACTACAAAATATAAATATGTTATATATATATTTAATTAAAACTAAAATTAATCAATCTAGTGTTATTATATGTATTATTTGATTTTTATATTATAATTTCCATCACGTGACATAATTTATGTTTAGAAAAAAAAAACAAAATCAAATTAAAAATTGAAAGCAATTAAACTGTAATTTATATGAATCGCTGCAAAAAAGGTTATGATTCACATTCAAATTTGTTTATTGTTTGAAATTTGTATTCGAAACTCCAGAAAAGATTCTAAAATTCACTTCAAAATATCAAAGGAAGTTAATACTTTCTTACAATGATCTTCGCTCGAATTGATGTAGATTATCAACACAGTACTTTTTTTAAAAAAAGAATCATTCTCCGCTATTAGGTTGGCGTATACCAATAACATGAAATTTTTTTTGGTTTTTCCGGGAAAAGAAGAAAAAAAACAACATGTTAAAATTTATAACCCATAATCCATGAACCATTTGGGTAAATTTTTCAAATTACTTGAAATATTGCAATGGTGGTGTAATGGATGAATAAGTGAGGATTAAATAAATTGGAAACTTTCATGATACTTTAGGGAAGATATACTATTTTTTCTAAGTATTAATCAACAATTATGACTAAAATTAAATTTAATGTAATCGTTATGTATGTAATTCTAGGTAACTATGTAATTGTAAATTTGCTAAATAGTTACTATTAGTTGTATAATTAAATGTTCATGATTATCGGGGTACAACCAGTGCTCAAATTGGAAAAATTAAAGAAGGGGGACTCTGTATACTTTAAAGAAAATAGCACCCCCCAAGGCTTGTTAAGCGTTATAATTGTTAAGTAATAATAATAGGGGCGCTAAAATTTCTGAAAATTAGTAGGGGTATTCCGCCCCCCTGCGTTACCCCACAAATCAAGCACTAGGTACAGCTCATTTGCACCCCGGAGTAGCCCACATGTGTCCCGAGGAATGTGAATAGTTGGAACCGAAAAATAAGGTACTGTCTGTCGATTTATAGCCCATAGGAGCCCATTTCTTATACAACGTTGGCATTTCATATTATAGATTTTTTCTAACTACCAGCAAGTTTAAATCTTCAATCATATTCGGTTCATGATTGTGGATATCCTAAACATCGATCAATGTCGATTTTGAATTATATTTTTTTAAGGAAATACCAACTTATGTCTCCTGAAACCAAATATCTTCTAAAGTGGAATTTAAAGTTACGAACAATTAAACACACATAGTTTTTAGTAGTATTTTTTATTTTAAAATCCATTTGAACTTATAAGTGTAATACTTCAAAATAAATAGTAGGTACCTACTAGCTTAACTATAAGTTAACTATAATTTACTGTAACTATAAGTTCACAGAAAGAAGTGAGAAGTGCATGAACTACAATTTAGATAAAATTGGCCAATATTCGATAATATCGATAGGGATGTAACGTAAAAACTAAAAATAATTAAATTGATGTATAATATACGAGTGCGCAATCGTGAAATAATACAGTTTGGCAACGTTGTACGGTTTTTATTAAAAATATTTCGGGCGCAAATGAGCAATAAAAAAGGTGTGATGGGCGCAAGTGGACTGCTCCGGATTAATACTGATACTTTCTCTCATCGTTATTGGAAAATAATTTTAAAACATCCTCTGTCTCAACGTACACACACTATGTTTCAAATATAATATGTATCATGTATGAATTATGTTTTTATTCTAACCAAAAAATAAACATACAAAAACGTTGAGCACTTCCCAGTGTGCAAGAAAAGTTACATAACATCGCCTCTATGTTGAATTTGTGTTTCATAGAAAATATTCCCAAATAATATTTATGTGATATGCATGTGGGTTGCTAGAAATAATGTCTCATAAGTTACTGAAAAACATTGTATACGTGTTTAAAATTTACTCAGATGCCACAAATACAAATTAACACAAATGCGATGTAATTCTACAATTGTTTTATAGAAATATATATTTATATACTTTTTCTGGGGGTTTTTACGCCTTCAATAGTTATTGTTATCAGACGACGTGTGACGACCTCGGTTGACTAGCAACTATGAACTCTCGTGTGTGTCTCGTATACGGAGTTAAGGTTTTTCTTACTTTACTCTAGTCAAGTAGTCTTAAAAGGAAAATTAAAAAAAATCATTTTATACACATTTCATGTTATTAGTTGCTGGTGTTAAACTATTAATTAATAATGTTACATGCCAAATTCATAATGAATTGGCTGAGACATTTTTCAAACAATTTATTTCTCAATATTCAATGTTATACGGAGATTATTTAATATCATACAATGTTCACAGTTTATCACATCTTCTCATGTTTATTAAAATACATTAAGTACATAAATACATAAAGTTAAAACTTTATTTTGTACATATTTTTAATATGAAAACAGAACAAAAATTGTAAAAATGTGTTTTGTTTTACTATTACAGATTACAATACTATAAAGCAATGCATATTTGTGGTTAATAAAAATTATAAATTATATAATTATGTTATTATTTATTCCTCAACAACCTATTTCTTCGATATTACCTATTATTGATTGAATAACGATTTATCTTTAATAAAAATAAACAATTTACCTACATTAAACAACATTGAATACAATAATTAATATATCAGGTATTTCAAATGCCTATTTTCTCGTTCTATAGTAAATAGTATAGCTCAGTAGGTTAGGCGTCCTCCATTAATACGTTAGGATGAGTTAGGTAGGTAAGATCGAATCCGGGCGACAAACAATTAGTGCCATAAAAGATTTCTTTTTATTTAATTTTATAGTAGATTTAGCTCTTTAAATATCATATTACAATGTTGTAGCCACATCGCTATGAAATTACATTCCTTCTCATGTTATTTGGTAATATTACTTTGATGTTATTTTAAAACATCTCTACTATATTGCCTGAATAACAGTAGTTATGAGCATTACCAATCACATACATATTTCAACTATATTAATAAAACTTAAAATGTGATGTTACATGTTCCTATGTAACATAATTTGAATATCTACGGAATATGACATTACACAGTGGGTTTTTATATCACACGCCTTGCTACTCACGACGGTCTGCTAAATCGAGGTCACTATTTAATAGTCTAATTATTGTCGCTAATTGCAATTAAAATACACTGAACAAAAAAATTAAAGCTTATTTAGAGTGTTCTTTAAAATTAATCAACAAACATGCATTAAAAAATTAATTTAATCATTTAAAATGTCAGATCACTCCAATGTTTTGATTTTTAAATATATAGTTACAGTTCAAAATAAATTATCTAGAATTTAATTTTTATTATGAAATTTAATATTCTTGCGGAATTGATTTGGTTTGATATAATGTGCTCGATTGTTCTGCACGAAATAAAAGTTGCTATTCCTGCAGCAATTGACCGCAATCGTTAGGTGACAAAAATAATTATGTAATTTCTCTAATTATCATTTGTAAAATTTTAAAAAGTTACATTTTTAATACGGTAATTGGATTTTGAACTAATTAGCATTATTATTGTTTATTAATAAAACGCAAAGAATTTTTAAAACCCTCTCCATGTGAGTATCGTACAAATAAAAGATTTATTTTCTTCTTCAAAATGTAATTACTTACCAACGAAATAAATTGTCGTAGTATACATGAAATATATC